CAGCCGGTCGATTCGGTGAAGTTCGCCGAGGAGGCGTAGTAGTCGTCGAAGGTGTTCACGCCGCGGAAGGTGGGGAAGCGACGGGAGAGGCCTCGGCGGTAGGCGCTGCTCGGCGCGGAGTAGCTCGGAGCGGGCGCAGAGTACGATGGGGCGGGGGCAGAGTAGGATGGAGCGGGAGCAGAGTAGCTCGGAGCGGGGGCCGAGTATGAGGGCGCTGGGGCCTGGTAGACGGGCGCCGTCAGGTTGTACGACTCGACCTTCTTCGAGTACGACAGCTGTGGGCTGCTGTACGAGGCAGCCGGTGCCGAGTAGCTGGGAGCGGGAGCTGAGTAGGAGGGAGCTGGGGCAGAGTAGCTGGGAGCTGGGGCAGAGTAGCTGGGAGCAGGGGCGGAGTAGCTGGGAGCTGGGGCAGAGTAGCTGGGAGCCTCATAAGCGGGTGCTGGTGCCGAGTAGCTGGGGGCCGGTGCCGAGTAGGATGGAGCCGGAGCTGAGTAGCTCGGCGCTGGGGCTTCGTAGGCTGGCGCCGGGGCCGAGTATGATGGAGCTGGGGCAGAGTAGCTAGGAGCCGGGGCTGAATAGCTCGGTGCGGGAGCAGAGTAGGATGGAGCAGGTGCCTCATAGGCGGGGGCCGGAGCAGAGTAGCTGGGAGCCGGTGCTGAGTAGGAAGGAGCAGGGGCGGAGTTGCTGGGAGCGGGGGCCGAGTATGATGGTGCAGGGGCAGAATAGCTCGGGGCGGGTGCCTCATAAGCTGGGGCCGGTGCCGAGTAGCTGGGAGCCGGTGCCGAGTAGCTCGGTGCTGGCGCAGAGTACGAGGGAGCGGGGGCTTCATAGGCTGGGGCTGGCGCATAGCTAGGAGCCGGTGCCGAGTAGGATGGCGCAGGAGCAGAGTAGCTCGGAGCTGGGGCAGAGTACGAGGGAGCCTCATACGCTGGCGCTGGTGCCGAGTAGCTGGGGGCCGGAGCCGAGTAGGATGGGGCAGGAGCATAGCTGGCTGGTGCCTCATAAGCCGGGGCAGGGGCAGAGTATGAAGGAGCTGGGGCGGAATAGCTGGGAGCAGGGGCCGAGTAGCTCGGGGCGGGAGCAGAGTAGCTGGGAGCCTCGTAAGCAGGGGCAGGGGCCGAATATGAGGGCGCTGGAGCAGAGTAGCTCGGTGCCGGGGCAGAGTACGATGGAGCCGGGGCAGAGTACGACGGAGCGGGAGCAGCGTACGATGGTGCTTCATAAGCCGGGGCCGGTGCGGCGTAGCTTGGGGCCGGGGCAGAATAGGCGGGCGCCGGTGCGGCGTACGACTTTGGTGCCTCGTAGGCGGGGGCGGGAGCGTAGACGGGCGCCGGTGCGGAGTACTTGGGCTGCTCGTACTTGGGCTGCTCATACTTGGGCTGCTCGTACTTGGGCTGCTGGTAGCTCTCCGCCTGGTAGGTGGACTTCTGGTTGTAGTTGGACTGGGCGCTGTACTGCTGGGTGGATCGCTTGTAGCTGCTGCCGTAGCTGGCCGGTGCCTCGTACGAGGGAGCCGGGGCGTACGATGGCGCAGGGGCGTATGAAGGCGCCGGGGCGTATGAAGGGGCAGGGGCGTAAG